AAAACTATAATGAAAACCGTAAAAAGCAGCTAAACAATAAAAGAAACCAACATACGCAGGTATGTATGTACATACATACATACGTTGATAAGCGTAGCTATATATTAAGTATGAAACAATAAATTTAAAAAAATGTACACATAACACAATAAACAAATTATATTAATAGTAGACTAAAAACAAAACATCAGTACATACACATTTAAATACATACATACATACATACATAGAAACAGATGATTAATTTATTTTAGAAACCAAATGAGTAACCGAGTAAGAACGGTGAAAGTAAAGAGAAAAACAAGCAAACAATACGTTGGCATAAGTAAAAAAATACTTATCTATGCAGTAATAAATAAAATCAAAATAATTGTTAAAAAAATAAATAAAAAAGTGACTTTTGGTAATGAGTGCAAGAGGTAAGTTTTTAAATATTTGAAAGCTCTAGTCAGTTTAAAAGAGAACCACTCTGTTCTACGATATTCATAAAAAACGCCTAAAAGTATGCAACAGTACAGCCACTCACGCAGAACCAACTAGTCGTGCCGCAATTTCGGCTCGAGCAAATATACCAGGCCCGCAGCAGGGCACAGCAAGAAGCAGCCCGCAAATTTATCGGACGAAAACGCGAAAATAAGCGGCATTAGTGATGTGCTGAGTCCACACTCGGTACCGATTTAAAAAGTATCCAATATTTTCGATACTCGATACCGAAATGTTCGTTACAGCTCGGGCAATTCTACCAGGCCCGCAGCAGCGAACAACAACAGGCCGCAAATGCTTGCTTCTTCTTTGTCCGCTGCCCAATTACAATAGAGCTGAACATATAATGCGCGTTCCTTATCTCCCAGAAATAGTCAGAAAAAGTCCGAAGTAGTCAGATTTAGTCCAAAAAGCGTTCCTTAACTCGGAAATTACAGCAAAAATGAGAGAGCAACAGTCAGTGAGAGCGACTCTGATCAGTCCGAAGTAGTCAGATTTAGTCAGAAGAATTTTTTCTGGCAAAATCCTGAAAAGTGTCAAACTCAACTGAATTTAAATTAACGGAAATTAAAGAATACGCAAAAAGTGAGAATAATCTAAAAAGTAAAAGAAATGAATTGAAATTGGAAGGAGGCAAAAAATAATTGATATAGCAAGTGTTTATTGTGCTTGTGCTTGTGTGAATGTGTTTTGTACATACATTTCTGTTCTTATTTGACGTTAGTTTTGTTGTTGCCATTCTTTGGACTAAAAATTTGGTTTTTTGCGTTCCTTTACTTTTCCTGTTACTCTCTTTTAGTGAGCGCATTTTGCTTACGCTCTGGTATTTTGACACTTTTCAGATTTTAGTCCAAAAAGATAAGGAATGAACCTATAATTTTTAAACCCTTCCGATGCAGTAGCATTTTAACAAAACAGGTGCTGGGTAATTTATTTATGGTAAAAATATTCAGTTCAAAATGCTGTATTTAAAAAATCCTTTATAATAAAATAAAAAAATTTAGCCCACAACATTCTGTTGTGAACGCACACAGTGAAAAGAAGCAGCATGCAATGACGTTTGGCCGCATGTGTTTTTGTTTTGGTTCGGCCCAACCAGGGAAATAACGCGTTTTGTATTTTTACCTTTACAAAGTTTTAGAAGCATATTAAAAACTAATCAGACCGACATATGGACGACGATTCATCCGATAGCGACTATCATGTCGAGGAATTTGTCAAGCCGAAACGTGTACGCCACACAGCAAACGGCGATGAAGCGGATTTATTGGGCAACTTCGATGATGTGAAACGCAAGGAGATATTCGATGGCACATATGAAGAGAAAACAGCGGAACCCAATCCCAGCGAAAGTGATGACGAAGATGATGCGGCCACTGATAGCGAACAGGAAGGAGTTGACGAAAATTCACAATCAGAGCACAGCGCAAATGGAGCGGCAATTGACAAAGCCTTGGCTGAAAACGAAGCCCCTAGCAATGATGAACAAGATGACACAGATGAGGTGAAAACCAATTTAACAAAAGAACAGTTGGCAGCGCTTATGCGTGGTACTGCAAAAGCTAATCGTCATGTGCTCTATGTGACCAATTTAAATTTCGAGACGACAGGTACAGACTTGGAGACGCACTTTTCCAGTGCTGGTACGGTGAAAGGTGTACGCATCCCGAAAAAACGTCGTGGTGGTTTTGCTTTTGTAGAAATGGCTGACATCGAAAGCTATCAACGTGGATTTCAATTGCATAATTCCACACTGCAAGGACGCACCATTAAAGTGCAATTTTCAGAGGCAGGCAAAAAGAAATCTGCAAATAAGAAAAACATTTTAAAACAAAAAAATAGAAAATTAGCTGAAATGCGTAATGAACAGAAAACATTTACGAAGAGCGGCAAATTCTACGATAAAAATTTGAAAAAGGAGAAGGCAAAGGACTTGCTTGCACGCAAGCGTTGGCGCAAGCCCACCGCAGCGAAAGGCGCGAGACCTTAGTTGCAAACTTGTAGCTTTTAAATAAAATTACATTTTATTCTAACAACACTTTTGTATATTTTTTCAACAAAACTACCAAATATTCAACAAATACCTTTCGTCAATGGGGATGCCTATTTGAGCCAACGCACAATGTAGAAATTCTTTTTCCCCACACGTAGCAACGATAGTCCGTTTTTGAGTACATGTATTCCAGTAGTAATGATTTCAGCAATGTTTTGTACGCGCTTTTGATTAATGTAGAAGCCACCAGCGGTAATAATGCGCATAGCGTCACCTAAGGGAAATACACTTTTAATTTGAAACTGTGTCCGTAAAATAATGTTTAATGCATTTACTTTCGCTATTAAAACATTTGGCTTTCATTGCCAGTTGCAGCATCGACATGCCCGGTTCCGCCAGAATGTCGACAACTTTCGCGCCTGCAAATGTCTTTTTCACTTCTTCGTAGTTGAGGTCACCCAATGCATCAACACTACCTTTATAGAGCGCGTCAGTGATGCGCTCAGCTTGCTTCAGGCCTTTTTCTGTAACAGATACAAATTATTCCGAGATGTACATTTATAAAATGAGTGACACTAAAATTAGTAAACGCACGCACCTCCATGCACTAATAATGTAACATCTTCTGCCAATATCGTTTGCGCTTTTCGTTTCTCTGGCTCCCTCCCATGTTCACGCATCAACTGCTCAACTTCTGGCAAAGGTATGAACGTAAATAAGTGCAATAATTTCTCGACTTCAGAATCTGGCATGCGCACAAAGAACTGATATAAAGAAAATGCGGAAGACTTCTCCTCATCTAGCCACACTGCATTGCCCGCTGACTTGCCAAATTTATCACCTTCTTCATTGGTGACCAACGGTAGTGTCATACCAAAGACTGGCTCTTTAACTACGCGACTTATCAACTCATGGCCAGACATCAGATTACCCATCTGATCTGAGCCGCCCATTTGAAAGCGGCAATCATATGTACGGCATAAATGCAACCAGTCATAAGATTGAAAAATTTGGTATGTGAATTCTGTAAAGCTCATACCAGACTCGGATTCCAAGCGTGACTGCACCGAGGAACGTGAGAGCATCGAACCCATACGAAAATGGCGCCCCATATTCGCAACAAAGTCGATGAGGTTCATATTCGCATACCAATCGGCATTGTTTACAATGCTATAAGTGTTGGAAATTTTTTTTAAATTGGTTATGGAAATAAATTAAATAATTGAATTACATACCGTAAATCTGGAAGTTTTCGCTTATTTTTGCTATCGTCCCAGAGGCAGTCTTGATGATTTTGAAAAATACGTGCTAATTGGCTTTTTATGGCTTTCAAATTCGTTTCTATTTCCGTTTCACCCATTTGATTACGTTCCGTTTTCCGTCCACTGGGATCACCAATCAAGCCGGTAGCACCGCCAACCTAAAATAAAAGAGAGTTGTAAATGTATCTACTATAAGTTAAACTTTTCCGCTTTTTTAAGCCTCACACCAGTGCAATGGGATTGTGACCGGCACGCTGACAATGTAGCAAACCCATTATCACCAACAAATTGCCTACATGTAAGCTATCGGCTGTTGGATCGAAGCCGGCATAGATAGTTTGAGGTCCGCTTGTGAAGAGCGTCTTCATCTGATCGCTATTGAAAATGCATATATGTAAAGTAAATGTATGAGCTAATTGAATGGAAGTTAACATTTAATTTTAGCTACTTTGCCGTGTCTGGAAAAATGTCTTGAAAGAAACCACGACCTTTAAGTGCGAGTAGGTTTTTATATGCGATATTCCGCTTGATAAACACGCGCTGAAATTGTGTTAACAACGTTTGCCGGCGTATCATTGTACGTTTGCTTTTTGTTTGTTTTAAAAGCTGAGTTTATTATATAAAATTGTACTTAAAATAAAAATATAAATCACAAATCGGCCCAATGCAAAATTGTTAAATAGTGAGGTTAGTGGTCAAACAGCTGATTTTATTGTGGGAACAGTGAATGCCGATTGTTTGAAGTACAGGTATGTTAAAAATTAATGGTATTGGTTACGTGGTGTTTTGAATAGTTATGCGGTATTTTGTATGCAGAGATCTGCTGATAATTCACCGTGCTGTTTTCCAAATACCCCAAACAAGCCACCTGGCAGGAAAACCAATATCAATTACGGGGGATCAAGTGGTTCGGCTGTTTTTTCCAGATTAGGTTTTTGAGATATTTCGTAAAAGCATTATTTTCAAATATATTGAATTTAAATTGATAGAGCTCGATCGAATAAACATCGTTAAATATACACGGAGAGAAACGGTTTCCCATAATATGAACTCTATGATTGCGCTGCTAATTTATTTTCAAAAATGGTAGAAGATTCAATGTCCGTTTGAGATTTTAAAAGGATTATTTATGCATTGTAAATGTTTCGAAAATAAAAGCCAGCCATAAAAAAAAAAAAACGATAAATTCAGCGTTTTTCGCCGGGAGCCCTGATTGCCCCTGAGCACATGTGTTCTGGTCAATAATTAAGATCAAATATAGCTGCTGGTAGCTCCTGGTTATGTACCAGTCTACAAAATACCTTCCAGCAGGTGGTCGAATGAAGAGTTTTGAGCTACGAAGGGAATCGGAACCTTATCCTTTAAAAGCCCAAGGCGAGAAATGTAAACCCGGACATGGCCAGGCAACAATAAGCTACCCGGAATACATCGTTTTAAGTCCCTCCTGCAGCTGTTTGGGGCGACTTCGGTTAGCAGCAGAAAACACACTGGCTGCATTTCTTTATTCATTCTGAACGTTTGGAATAAACTTTTTTGTTTACTTATTCTTTAGAACGCTCCTGGTAATATATTAACGTATATTTCAAACGCATTCTGTTTATTCCGGCTGTGAAATGGGATTATCCGGAATGTAAAAAGAAACGCAGTCACTGATTGAGTCGAAGATGAATGACTCAGAGTACATTCGGAACCGAAAACATTTCTGTCCTTAGACCTTCATTGGTTCAGTAGGAACTCTCATTACTCAGATAGATAGCGTTCCTGAGGTCGACGCCCCTTGGTCTTCCCAATGGCTCCGCCGAGATAACAGTAAGCAGTTCAGAAGTGACTAATGCCAATCCCGTGCCCTTATTCTATGAGCGTTTTCCGCAGTACACCCATTGGGATTGAAATCTTTTCAGGGACTAGAAAAAGCCGACTGGAATATATTGCAAATATTAATTACGAGCGGATGGTATTACTGAATCCATCGTAGTTCGATTTTCGTGAAATCTGCAAGAATATAATCTTTGAATCCCAATTGCTACGAACGCATGCATTTGAAGAATATGTTACTTTCGTAGCTATTCGAATTCAGTGACAACACTTTCGTAGATTTCGCAAAAAAACGGACTGCGACGGATTCAGTGAATGGCCCGATTTTTTCTCTGTACAAATACCTCATAACCTATTTTCCAAAGAAAGTAAAAAATAGGGTTGAATGTTACATTCGGATTTTTCGAATATACGGATACTTTAATATCTGATTAAAAAATCCGAATATCCGGATAACCAAATGAGCGGATATTAACCGGATATACGAATAACAAAACTAATGGATACTAACCGGATATCCTGATTTTGCGTTCACACATATTTTAGAATATCCGGATAACTAAATTAATGGCTGCGTTTCTTTATACACTCCGATTAATCCCATTTCACAGCCGGAATAAACAGAATGCGTTTGAAATATACGTCAACATATCATCAGGAACGTTCTAAAGAATAAATAAACAAAACAGTTTATTCCAAACGTTCAGAATGAATAAACCGGCTGGATATCCGCATGACAAAAAGAGATGGATTTAATTGTATATTCTATTACCCGAATATACGGATAATCCCAGCTGTAGTAATTGGTATACATAAAAAAACGTTACTTTTACAAAATAAATAAATGCCTAACATACATACATAGTTCAAAAAATGATGCTAAAATTTTTAATAAGGAAGGTCAAACGTATACAGTTATGCGAAGCACAAAAAAAAACTATAATTAATTTAATTTTTCGTACTTCCTTAAAAATGTAAACAGAAAAACAAAATTTCTTCAACTTCGTAGAAGCATGGCATCGATTTTAAGATGTCAGAAACTTCACATAATCCAAAAAGAAATTTTAATTCTAACAAAACGAACGTTAAAAACAAAATCACTACAAATAATATCCGAATATCTGGAGGATAGTTCCGCCGTGGTAGGTAAGATGTCAAAAGTTTCCCGAAATCTTTACAAAGGTCAGAGTCTAGCGGTTTTCACTAGTGGTGGCGATGCATGTGGCATGAATGGAGCTGTGCGCGCTTGTGTGCGCATGGCCATATATTTGGGCTGTCAGGTAAGGAGGCAGCAAATAAAACAGTTGTACTACTAGAAAACGCTCCATTTTTTGGTTTGTCCTTTTCGATACTCGCAGCCCTACATGATACGTGAGGGCTATCAAGGCATGGTGGAGGGTGGTGATCAAATTGTTAAAGCAGTCTGGTCATCGGTATCCTCCATTATACATGTGGGCGGTACCGTAATCGGTTCGGCACGCTGCACGGCATTCACAGAACGCGAGGGACGTAAGAAGGCGGCTTTTAATTTGGTGCAAAAAGGTGCACATAAGTCTGTTTTAAAATAACAATATCTAGAAATAAGTATGTATGTATGTCTGTTTTTGTTTAGGGATTAATCGCTTAGTTGTAATTGGTGGTGACGGTTCTCTAACCGGCGCGAATATATTTCGTCAAGAATGGAGTGGGTTGCTGGACGATTTAGTAGTCGAGGGCAAAATCACAATGCAACAAAGAGAACATTTCAAAGATTTACATATTGTGGGAGTGGTAGGTGATAATGCTTGAAACACATTGAAAACGATGGTCTACATGTAGATAGATAATTATTTTTGCGTCAACAGAGCTACAAAACGCAACTATGGTTGTGGTCAGTCTAAATCTATTTGAAAAAATTCATTTCTGCATCGACAAAGCGTTTAGATGATGAAGTTACAAAATACGCAGCTGTGGCCCGTCGTTTTCAAAAGTTGTCATAAAAGTTCTGTTATAACTTCACTTCGCTTTTATATTCAAGGTTGGTTCCATCGATAACGATTTTTGTGGCACCGATCTAACCATTGGCTCGAACACCGCTCTGCATCGCATTACTGACGCTATCGATTCTATAGTGAGTACAGCTTACTCACATCAACGCATTTTTATAATGGAAGTTATGGGACGACGTTGCGGGTTAGTATGAAATTTATACCTGCATACATATATATTTAGATAGGTTCATAGCCCGCAAACCAAAGTTCACAAAATGTTAACAAAATCTTTAAGAATATCGGAAATGTTTTACGAATTCTGCAATGATTTCTTTACGATTTAGATTTTAGTAAAGTCCACCTCCCGACTTTAGCTGTTACCCTTATTTACAAACATCTGTTACTGTATTTAGAAGTATTCTCAGTTAATTTGCTCAGGAAATGTTACAAATAATTTATGTGTGTAGTGTTTGTCAACGTTTTTATCGAGTCAGTTAAAGCTCCTACAAGTATGCAACATGAGATATTAAATTTAGATGAATGAACATGGCTCCTAATGACTGCGACTTAGAAACGGTGCATTGTAACAATCCTCTATTTTGCTACTGGTTTTGATCCACTTATTACTAAAAAACCACGCGAGGTCCTTTGGCTTATTGAGGTGATCCAAAGAATCGAAGTCTGGTTCAAGCACGGGCTTCACATTGGCACATAATGTGCTCTGCTGTTTCCTGTTCTTCGTGGCACTACCTAGACTGATCAGAGCTTTCTGGCGAGAATATCTGCCACTTCATTGCCCACGACACCACTGTATCCTAGTACGTATATGAGGTATACCCGATTTCTGGATGCGACCAGTGTTAAAAGCTGAAGGCAATCCCATACCAGCTTTAAAGTAACTTCGTGCGCTTTAAGAGCAAGGAGCGAGATGTGTTTGTTGGTTTCGCCACTTCCCACTTTACGTACTGCCTCAGACATACATAGTTCAATAGCAAGCACCACGGCCTGAAATACAGAGTTACCTTGCCATATGCTGATGAAAAGGAGCTTTATGGCCTATATGCCGTAGACTCCAGCTCCGACACCGTGGCCAGTCTTGAAGCCATCAATATACCAAATAGGGCTGTCTTTCCGGGGTTTGGGTCGTTCGTTGTCACAGTTGGTTCTCTTGGGGAAAAAGACCTTGAAATTTTGTTAAATCTTTAATGAGGTTAAATCTCGGAAGGCAAAGCTTTATTTAGGTGGGGATTCCACGAGAGCTTGTCATTAAGGATAACTGCCAGATATTTCACTTCTATAGATAAGTGTCTCTTTTCTTCTTGAAGGAACCATTCCTTGTAGTTTGTCCGTTATACTTTTCCTTGAGAAAATGACTGTGTTGATCTTCTTGAGGTTTACGTTTAACCCATTATTACTGCACCCATTTGGTGACTATATTTTCCATTATAGAAGGTTGGAGACAGTGTCTTCAAACCCACCTCTGATTAGGATGATATTTTCGTCTGCGTAGCCCACACCCGAACAACAAGAATTTAGGTCAAAGTATTTCCGATGTTTGTTACATTCGTAATTTGTTGATAATTTTTTTCATTTTCTAATTGCAGCTACTTAGCAATCGTTTCCGGTATAATATCTGAAGCCGACTATGTGTTTTGTCCTGAATCACCACCGCCAGAAGATTGGCCCGATCGTTTGTGTGAAAAATTACAAAAGGTAAGCATCTATAAAAATCGCTTAGGAAGTTACAGCGTCAAGCAATAAGAAGAAGAAGAACCCCGAAAATATACTCCCCACATGATTGATTTAAAGTCTGTGTGAAGGCCAGGTGGGATGTTTTAAACACAGTACAAATTATATATCAGGGGTATACTTAGCTTAAAGCAGGCCTTATTAT